AGAAGAAAGATAACTGCTTTTTCATTATTTATTCACCGCCTGGTTACAGGTTTAATCATCTACTCCAAAGCTGCAGTGATTTCTGTTTGCAGCGTGATCACTTAAATATATGGGACACAATATTTAGATACTTAACCAATTCATTAATAATCATGTTTTTAGGTTACAATGTTTACTTCAGAAACTGCTTAGCCGATGACCAGAAACTTTTAAGTGCTACGTCTCACGTAGATTATCGTTTGATATTCTCTAAGTTTCTAGATTTGTGTTTATCCAAAAACTGACCGTGAAGCTCCAAGAATGCCAAAAAACCATCTTCCTTATTCCGAGCTACAAATCTTCTCTGTTAAGTGTAATACCTTAAACAGCAAGTACTTTCAGTTTATCACTGATACTAAATACAAAATTTACAGTTTTGACATAAATTAACAGATACAAAATGGTTTGTTCTTTCAAAAATTACTGTTAAGTAAGTGCTTTGGAACATCAAACTAAATTTTGTGCATTGTTGATCCATAAAGTTGTATATGACGGAATATGAAATTTAACTTAGATTTATTGAAGCCAACAGTGCATTTTTAGCTCCCCATATGCTATAAGAAAACATATTGGGATTCAATACTCTTTGGATGGAAGCTGATTGATATTGGCTAAAAGTAGGACCCAGAACATATCAGAGCACGTCAGTGCCATCAGCTGCAACTTTTGTAAGTCTACAGTGACCGTACAGTCGATCTTCATGTGATTATCAAAAATAAATCCTGCTTGAAATACCATCTAATAAAAATTCTACGTTACAGTGCCCTATGTCAAATAGACTATTCCAATATGGAATTACGTTCTATCGCTGTGTCCCACTTCTATACTTACATTATTAAAACCGTCCAATTCCTTTCATTATGACAAGCAGTTGCAAACCGACAAAATAAAAAAATGGGTGCTCTACATTTTTATTTCACTTAGTAAAAGTCTGACGATTAAATTTTATTTTCAAGGTAATTTTAACGAGTTTAGTCTAGTGTAGAATGTATTCTCAAATAAAGCACTGCTATCTTTTATGAAGCACTTGTAATACTTTGAAACCATGAAAAACATATTCTCTTCTGCTATAATGCTAACACGCAATATGTTATTCGAACAAAATGTTTACAGAAGAGTTTTTGTGATGAAGATTGACATACCTAAAACTTGCATATGACTCGTTATATAGAAAGTCTTTTGTAAAATTTAGAAAGAATACATGGATAATCAAAGAACTTTTAGAATGTGTGTAAAAACTTTGAGGTACTGGTTAAAAATACAAATTAGTGAAATAGTTTATACAACTAAGATGAGAATCGTTTATTAATATCTGATGATAATACTCTTTGCACAAAAAGGTGATTGTCGTTACTTAGTCTCCTGATGGATGACACTTTGGCGTTTGCAGCGTCGAGTACTGGGTTCTGGTCTGAGTGAAAAAAACATGACAAACTGGGGTACAGATACATCCAGCTGACGAGTCTGAAATAGGATGAAACGCACGTCCCGGACTCCACTTCTAGTTACCAAGTAGACTACAATATAATGAGGAGAGAATGTCCCTGCTTTCTTATTACAAGGCTTTGGTTAAAACTCGTGACAGTATTGCGATGTAATCAAACTAGTTTGCGAGTGGGTTTGTAATGCGTGCTCATTTATACTTACTCACTCGTCTTAACTTGTGGTTGCATTAAATACAATTGTAAGCCTCACCTCATAATTTTCTCCAATTTTTATTTTGTTCATGTTGCATTACAGTTTTGGTGATCAGCTTTACTGATCCTTATATTTAAAGATGAATCTTATTTCACAGCAGCATCAAGGCTAGTTATCTAACTGAAACTTATGGACTAGGTAAATCTACAACAAATTTCTTTCAATTTAACTTGAGGATTACATTGTTGTTGCATAGAAGGAAGGCACTATTACCACCATGTAAAAAACCAGTCAAAGTGTTTAATTGTAGCAATGAGTTAATCATAACAAAGCCGGCCCATAGAACGTTTCGAAGAATATTTTATAGACAGTAAGTGAACTATAACGTAGACGGAGAGAAAAGTATTTTAGGCAGTGTGTTTCATGAGTACAATAAATAGCACTAATTTAAGCGTGAACGGTTTTATAAATATGAAAAAAATTCAGATAAAGTATGGATCACTGGTCAATTGCAAGTTGAAAATTTTCAGTAATAAAATAAACCGCCAATCCTTAACGTTAAGAGCTTTCTGTCAAATGTTTTTAAGTTTTTCCAGATCACAAGTTACCTATCATAATGAGCAACAATTTTTTCTGTTTCATACAATGTTTACCATTTTTTATTCAATGACATAACTCTATGTTGATGAAATCTGCTTTATTGACGATTAAGTATGAAATTTATCTAACGATTGCCATCTTACTACACTGTTGCTTTTATTCAGTCGTTGTTTCATAATTGGCCTTTAGATCATAACAATTAAAATGAATCTAAATAATGAAATGATCGACTTGTTCTCTCTTTTTTCCTAATATAATTTATGTAACGAAATCATAGTAGAGAATTTTAGAAAAATTCACTTCCCAGTATTAACAATTCATGTGCAGATATCCCTAGAAATTGCGTCACTGCAATTGACGAAAGCATTTAAACAATCCACATCATATAACGCAGTTCATAATACATTTCTCTTGTTAGATGAAAACATACACAATTTGTTGATATTATTCTGGGTGAGGAAAAAAATTGTTACAAGAAATGATACATCGTCACTGAGTCAAAAATTCGATTATTCACCAGTGTACTACAAATAATGCTGATGTCCACTGCTATGTGAAATACACGAAATTTATTCATTTTCTCTCATAACATTTAATATAAAAACCACGTCATATTAGTTTCGAAACTGATCCAGTTTAACTGACAATCTTCCTTAAAGTTACTTGACAGACCGTTATAGAAACGGCAGTGGTATAGCTACTTAAGTGTTTAAGTTATCATACATAAAAAAACGATCCCACAAAAAAGGTGGACAAGAAAATGCAAATGCTGCTACTAGTCATGGTAAAAACTACGTCGATACGGAGTTACAGGTCAATGTAAAAATGTAGCAGTGTGTTCCTTATTTACAAAGGTAAACAGCATAAGTTTCTGCCCAGTCGTCCTTGATTATCATTGGTTGGTCTACCCTGATCAGGCTTACCTTGACTTATCTACATTACTTGAAATAATGTTTAAAAAGATAGCGGAACAATGGCATATCCTGCTCTAATGGACTAATAGTTTATCTGAACGAAATTTATGTACGAAACGCCCTACTGTTTTCCATATGTATGATGGAATATCTTACTACTATGTTATTGATATATCTTTTGTGACATCTCAAAAACGTATTTGAAAAATGATTTAAGATTTTCGTGTGATAGTTCTATCACTAAATAGTTAGATAGCGTTGTAAATAGCTATCTACACTTGTACACTGGAATTCAATAACAATAATAATTAGTAGTTCATTCCTCAGTCAATTTTAGAACTGTATACGATTACTAATTTAAAAAGTCGTAAGGCCTTTTATGAGTAAACAGATTAGATTATCATTTAATGCAGGTGAACGCTTTCTTCAGGAAGTCCCATGAAAGTTGCTTGTGATTCATTTTCAATTATTGCATATGATGATTCACTAAGTAAAACTACTTTTTAGCCAATAAACAAGCCTATTTATTTTACATTGTAAAAGATGAAAATATGCAAATATAATTATAATATAAATAGAATCCCAAAACTCCATCTGTCAATTAGTCACTTTTGCGCTTTATCAACCTCCAGACTCTCCGATTTCTCAATTAATAAAGCATCATCTTATGCCTTTAACGTAGATGGTTAGGCAGTACCTAAGATACATTTTATATAAGGATCACTCGCTTGATAGCTTTATTTCTACGTTTCGAAATGTTTTCAACCCTGTGTGATCAAAAATCTTTCGCTGAACTAAGTGAAATGACATGCACCTCACTCACACTGAAAATGAAAACATTTTTATCTGTAAAACAGCTTATGGCCCACTTCAGATATATATATATATATATATATATATATATATGGGTTCAGTTAAAAATTGACAGGACGAAGCCAAATATTTGATCCTATTCAGTTAAAACTGCTTCATCAAAAACTATCTGTTGTAGATTCTGGGTGACGGATGATGGATGGCAGGATTGGAACCAGAGACCTGTGAGTTACTGACTCGGTGCTCTGCCAACTTAGCTAGAAGAACAAAAGGCTGACCAAATCTGCGAAAATATGGCTGTCTCAGATAGTCATACTATCTATTATACTTAAGGTTATAAAACTTACGTTTACGTCACGATTGTATGAAGGTACTTCAAGGAGTAAATTATCAACTTTGAATCATATCTACTAATTTCTTTTCGTTATAAATGTACCAGTACTCCATTGGAAACGTCCTATCGATACTGTGATCTAATAAATCTTTCCCAATATTAAAGAAATACTTTTCTACATAAAGTGAATTTCGTCTCTAAAGTGTAAATATGTAGTTAATAACTTATATCTCAGTACATTACTAAGTCTGTTTTGCAGCAGTATTATGACAAATATTGTTAAAGCAAATCAACCTCAAACATTTCCCTTGAATATCATTATTAACTGAGTCACAGGAAAGTATCAGATTTACCGTCTACAAACTATAAACTTTCCGGTCTCATGAGAATAACTAGGATAACGTTAACTCGATTTCATTTGCTAGGAGTATGTATTTATTTTGATACATATACATTTAGGGTGATGCGATAATTAAACTGATCATCTTAGAAAAAAAGTTTATCATTTATGCATACAATGTGTAAATGAGACCAAAACGTATGAGCAAAGTTAAAAAGTTATCGCATTTAATTTTGGTATTTCTCTTCGCTAGGAAATAAAAATACCAAAATAATAAATATCGTTGACCTGTTATCTATATGTTTTCTAAGGTTTCACTTACTTTAACACCCCAAGCGTCTGTTGTTGCATCTAGGCTGGATTGCATGGCTGCAGATATTTCTTCTCTATCCATAAGAATCTGCGCTAAATCTTTAGTTCCTAAGACATTACGTATAGTTGTCTGTGCTAGTAGTCTAGTTGATCGTGCCGCATCTTCAATATTCAACACAGAAGCTACTGGATTCAATACACGATAATATACAACTGCATCCACCGAAACAGTCACTGAATCACGCGTTAACAACTCTTGTGGTGGTATCGCAAATGTCACTGTACGTAAGTCCACCTTCCGTACACTGTCTATGCATGGTAAAATAAAAAATAATCCAGGACCCTTTGTTCCTTTACCTTTTGGTATTAGATTACCCATACGTAGGACGACAGCGCGCTCATATTCGGCAACGATGCGTATGCAATAGACGAGGGAAAATGGAAATGTAATAACAATGAGAAATATACTTAATGCAGCCAAGAAATTCGTTGTCCAACGCATACTATTTTCATCATTTTTATCTACATCTTCACAATAAGTTGATGTTTCATTAATTTTTTGAGCTCGTTTTATTACTTTGTTTGACTTTTTGCCCGCAGGTGCTGTTGTCATGTCGACTTCATTTTCATATAACGAACTCAGGTGATTACCATTATGGGCTCTATTTGACAGAGGAGTAGCTTTATTCTTCATCACACCTTCCTGATTTCTGTTTGACTTATTGAGACGGAATTTACGTCTTATGTACTTCAAACAGTGACATGAATTACACTTGAATAAACCACGAGAATGCTTTTTCTGCCACAGGTTTTCGCTAAACTGTGGTACATGCAAAGTTAATACGTCGTCGTAACTGGAGTCACGCTCATTAGATTCCTGACTTGTTTCTGGTTGATATCGCTGTGATGATGTTGTTTTACTAGTGTTTTCTCCAATGGATGAAATCAGATCAGCTTCGTCGTGTTTGAGTTCAGTGATAATCGGTGTATCTATATGTGGTGCTGCTTTGTACAATGATGTATGACAAGAAATGTTACCTGTTGAAGACATAAATCATTAAAATATTCCTCCTTTCACCTCACTACTATCTGTGTTTAATGTTGTTGCCTTTCCTAAAGCAATGCCCGAAATGTTGTGGTATCTTTCATCGGGCTGCGGTTCTGTTTTAAACTGAATGATAAGTGTTATTCGTACATAAGTTGAGACAGAAAATGTGATCTCATATAGGTGGTTGAAATTTTCTAATCGTGAGAAAACATATATATATATATATATATATATATATATATATATATATATATATATATATAGGCATACAAACGAACAACTTACTAACAGGGATGGGATAGGAAGAAAGGCTTATGATTAGTTTTCCGTCACAAACGTCTTTCTGTCAGTCTCTCTTGTACAAATCTAATTGGTTGATTTAACTGTCATCCTTAACAGACCATTGACTATGCAATCACTCACACCGTGGTGATGATAACTATGACGATGATGAAAATTTTATCAACTTATTACTAATCAAGTGGACAGTAGAAAAAAAATCAATATAACCAATATTTTTTCTTCTATGATTAACTGGACACAAATGTGTTTTCCAATGAAAGTGCAACTAGATGACCCAGATTATAGAAAACCCTTATACTACAGCTACATAATTATGTAAAGAGGGGTTAGCAAAAGGCGAAATCGCAGAAAAAGTGATAATTGTTAGTATAAGACATAAATTGTTTTATTATATCTTGTTCAGATCCGACCAGCATTTGTGACGCTCTGATTCGATCGAATAAGCCACTTATTTCAAAGGGACTCACCTTCTGACCAGCAAGTAGTTAGCTAGTATGCTGAAAATATTCACGTTCATTTAAGCTGTAGTACAACGTAACAACTAACAGGAACTGATGAGTGGTTAAAAGGTAACAAGGTAGTTATTTTATGACTACAATTATTCAATGTTTTGTGTTTACGTGTTTTAACTGCAAATTTGATCATCAACCAGCAATAAATAAAATTGCTTTTTCATCTATCTGACATAGCCGCAGTTTAGCAAACTAATGATTTCTTAAATATCTATCCAGGCCAAAATCACCTCCTTTGAAATGGTTCACATTATCAGAAAAAGATCAAAAACGCAGCTCAGCATGGCTTTCATTAAGGTTGTTTAATTTTCTTACGTTCGTTGAAGTGGCTCATATTTATTGACCTTCATCACGACTTCCTTTATAGTCGTTTCAGCATTGGTGGGATGTTCATTATCACACAATTTATTTTTGGTGATTAGCAGCAGAAGCATTGCTTCCAAGATGCTCCGATGTCATAGTAAATAAACTCGTCAAAAATGAATGAGGTCGGCTTGGGTACAACGCTGGTCAATACAAATAAACAACATTATCTCAAAAATACAACATTATGTTACGTTATTTGGCTTCACAAAATATCTTTAGGTATACAGCGGATCGAAACATTTCTTTCTGCTATGAAGAAGACCAATTAGTTTGGCTGGATAAATCATGCAGTAAAGAACACTATGAGCTTTTTATTTCAGACGAGCAAGTCTGATCTAAACCTTCTTGATAGTATTGTGCGCTAAAAAATTTTAGTATCCAAATTTTGTTTAAGTTGCTGAATGACATATTTTGATTATTTTTCTCTGTTTCACTGAATAACTTTAAAATGAAAAAGCAGAAGCCCCTAAATTTCTACCTGCATCTTAAACCCTGGAGGATTTGTTAACGTATAAGAAAAGTAATTGACCGTCGTTAAGAAATATGTTTATTACAGCCTAATACCTTTGGATGCTTCGAACTGTAATACTCGATGTAAATCATGTTAGTTGTTCTCAGTGATTTCACTGGAAAGAACAAGTATAAGATACTGGATTACTCTTAATAATGCGAATAAACCAGACGTTCTTATTTAAGAAGAATGCTTTGTTCTCTCGCAGACACAAAAGGCCAATTAATCCTGATTTGAAGTATAACAACTTTATTTTGTTATATCCTCAAGGGTTCCATTTTCATAATGACTTGTGCTTTGGACTTATTAAGAAAACATTAACAGAAGAATTTAAGAGTCAGAAACGACAGAACCAAATTATTCTAATAAATGACTTTTACATCTAATTTCAGGTGGTTCTCATTATTTTCATCTTCACTTTATTACCTATCGATAGGATGACGTTTATAGTGTATATGAATCTAACCTATCTACTCACCATAACTTTATATTTCTCCGATATTTACAAGACTCAAATATAGTCTCAGAAAAGATTGTGACATAATATTTTGTACACCTTACGTTGTGTATCATCAATGCTCACTTTCTTAAGAAAGCTGAGTTACTGGAAAGCTTTTGTAACTAAACAAACTATTATGTTGCTGTTTGTATCGTCTCATCGTTTTCGAACCGAATTTATAGGTTTCTATTGGCATATAGACTCTTTCAAGGATCCTACGATATTGCTTGTGTTACAATTTTATATCACTGATGAACAATAGCTTATATTGCGTTCTCTTAGCTGGTTGTTCAGTCATATGACAAGCAAGCGCTGATTTTATAATAAACGTTAATGACATTTTTTAAGTATCTTCGAAGCCAGTAAACTATTCTTGTACATGTAATCATTTTTGCGCTAACTGTGCAAATAAAGTTAAAGAATCTTAATATCTTTTGAATTCTTAGTAGTTTCAAGTTTCGTCTTTCAGCAGCCAATTTTCGGAAACTGAAAAAGTGGCCATCACTATCTTCCGAAAATTGAAATCCATAACATATACAAATATACATTTTATTCATAAAAATCTTCGCAATATTAAAATAATGTATTTTTACTCATAAAACTAAGGAAAATATATGATTATTCTGTAGCTATTTCAGATCAGGTTATTTAAGAAAAAGCTTACTAGCAAAGCAAATGAAATCTGGCTAGAATGTCTTTCAAACCACGAATAAATGCATGAACTATCCATGTAGTATACTTTTCTTACACACTTTTACAGTTTCCAGGTTACTACAGAGAATGCTTTTTCTGAATTTGCATCAAATTACCATGTCTTGGGGTGATTAACTTCAAAGTGTTATGTGTTTTAAACCACATTTCCTGAAATGCAGTGCTTCTTTTTATATAAAGCAATTGACTTGCAAAAAGCATTAGAAACCTTAACAATTAGCTATTACTAAAGAGTTTTGAGGATGAAGTAATGCTTGAGCTACTTCTACCGAAACCCCACCAAATAATTTGATTTGTAAAATGACAAAGTTTCAGTGTTTTCAGTCATTATTTCTTGTTCCATAAAATAATTTTAGCTTTTATGTTTACCTCTCACTTGAAGATATCATCACAGTCACATACTGGTTGGTGTGGAACACAACATGTTTACTACATGTAAAACTTTCTCCCTTAACTGTTCAATCTTGTTGAGTACTGTTTAAAATCTTTTGTTGTTTCTTCCTTTTTTTCAATATAGTGAACCAGTCAACAGTGTTCTTTCTCATAGGGAAAACAACCCTTCGATTATAGTGTGAATAAAGTAAGTCAAAACAAATAAACACTTCTAGCTGAAATAAAATCTACCATAAAGCCTTGAATGTCAGTTTGTTTCTCCTTGTTTCACTTTCGATTATGGAAAACAAGTATCTGTCACTGATATACACAATTTCAAGAACATTAACAACATTTTTAGGAAACTGTTTCTCTAGATAAAACTGTTTTTCAAATTATTGAATATCTCAACAATCGACATATCCAAAATTCAGATCATTATCCATAGTGATGCATTATATATAGGCTCTATCTTATTGACAGTTTACTGGAACTCATCCAAAGCCTTTCGAAATTTGTAACGCTTGTTGATCATAAATATTAGACCCTCATCTAGGTAGGTGTTCTTGGTTCATTAATTTGTTATAATAAGCCTCAAAAGGTGTAAGATAAGAGTGTGTTTTATAATAGATCAAACACTTCCTCTGCATCTTGCTTCAAAAGCTTAAAATCTTAAATATGTTTTCAATATCAGTATTATGAACTGACTTAGGGGAAAACTAACCCATACCATATGAGGCTTCGTGATATGAAATGATACTTAAAAGAAGTTCTATTCCTCGTTCAGCGTCTCGATGACACTGCGAATAAATATATTAGCAATTTAAATTCAACAAAGATCCCGAAAACGTGATAAATCATATAGTATCCAACTAGTTTCGAATTATCACCACATGCACATTCATTATTTGTGGAGACCTTATGCTTCCAAGTGAACATAACTATTTTCTCGGGCAAAGTTTAAGTGCCTGAGTCTGCATCGACTACTCATAAGTTCTTGTGAAAGCATGTAGCTTTTAGAGTGAAGATCGGCCTCAAGTATCATAAATATAAAGAAATGAAGGAATCAAATAGGTCAGTTTGTGGTTACTACAATTTATTATAGAGTGGTAATATGATATGATAAACTGAGGCATACCTTTCGAAAGATAGTCAACTAGCTTTCCTTTTGTAACAGTAGGCAAACTTCCCGTTTACAATCAACGATAAATCCATTAAATTCAGCAAATCTCGCAAAGTTCTTATTACTACTTTCCTAGTTTATTAGTAGGTATAAAGTTAATCTGTGCCTAGTTTACATCTAAACAAATATTATCGGATTTAGTATCAGTTACGGAAGGAAAATTATAAGTAGATAATCTTGATAGAAATGTGTCATGATGAGGGATTTTACCTCAGTAAGTGCTGGATAGTTTATCCTTTGATAAAAATTCTAATGTACACTAATTTAATATCATAAGAAATATAACTGTGTATAAATAGATTAATGTCACATAACCGTTAACCATTTTATATGTATTAACTTTTGAAAAAAATGACCTGACTGGTATAATCTCATACATTTTTTTATTTAAATAAATAAAAACATAAATAAGGGAAATGCAAGATAAAAATCTCTCCAGATAGCTATAAAATAATACATATCACAATATCAAGTTGGCACAGACATGCATTATTTAAATCATGTTATATACTTTTTGCAACTGTATATAATTTCAACCTGCATAAATCAGTTCGTTTTTAGTGATTCTTAGAAACCCTAAACGCTCCTCTTCTGATTAGTATCGAAACGAGTTGTTAGTAATTTACAACAGTCTGGTATAAAGTGATCATATTTGATCTGAAGGTTGTTGTTCATTCGGTTACTTTACCAGTTCGTCATTATTCACTTTATTTGCTTAAAACTTCGAAATTCCTATGAAGATTTAAC